CCCCAAAACCCCAAAACCCCAAAACCCCATACTTTAAAGTATCAAATATATTTATAAATTTAATATTCTAAATAAATTATTACTAATTATAATATTTATTAATGGCTACTAAACAAAAGAAAAAGCAGTAGAACAAATAAGGCTAAAAATAAGTCACTATCACTTAAGAAGAAGAAAAATAGCCCCAAATAACCATTTAATCTAGCTAACAAAATGATAACTAATCAACTTATGCAGAAATTTCGAGTTAATAGACAATAGAAAGCTTAGCTAATCTGACAAAGAATTAGGCAAAAAAGGAGAAAAAAAAGAAGAAAAAAAACGCTACTAAGTCCGCAATTGATATAAAAAGAAAATTAAGTGTAGACCCAAATTAGGGAGGCATCAAATTTTTAAATCTCAAGCCTCCTAAAGAAAAACCTGAAGATACCAAATAGTGAGTTAATTTCTATTATTGAAAACGAGACTTAACATTTTTTAGGAAAAATAAAGATGAAAACAATAAAAATGATGATGATGAGGAAAATGAAGATGATCGCTCACAATCTCAAAGTGGCCATGATAGCTCAGATCCAGATGAAAATGAAGACTTCATTGATTACAAACCTGATGGATATCATCCAATGCATGAAGGGTAAGTATTAAAATAGATCAAACAGACTAATTCAACTTAAAAATTATTCTCCAAAAAATATAAATTGAATCTCAAATCCTTTTAATAGAGAAATTCTAGATAGCAGATACATTGTTCTTAAGAAACTTGGATGGGGTCATTTTTCAACAGTATGGCTAGCCTTTAATCTTAGTGATAAGAAGTTATATGCTTTAAAGATCATTAGATCTCATAAGAAATATTTGAGCTCTGCATATGATGAAGAAGCAATTTGTAAAATAATAGCCGATAATTATCAAAACTCAGTATGGGTCAAGAGTGTTAGATAATACCTTAATAATCCAGCACTCAGTGTTAATAGAGATCATACTCATTGCCTTTAGATGTTTGATTGGTTTAATCATCATGGGGAGAACGGAAGACACTTTACCATGGCTTTTGAAGTATTAGGAAGAAACTTACTTTCTCTTGTGAAAAAATATGATTACCGAGGCATTCCTTTGCCAATTGTGAGGGAGATCACCAAACAGCTCTTAATGGCTTTAGATTACATGCACAGAGTTTGCAAGATTATCCACACAGATCTAAAACCAGAAAATATCACATTCTAACTAAGAGAAGAGGAGTAGTTTGATCTGCTTTACAAGTATGTACTTTGCACACCATTAGTTGACTTATTCGAGACTTAAGAGAAAATCATTCTAAACAAAAAGCAATAAAAAAACCAAAAGAAAAAGGACAGGAAGAAGAAAAAGAAGCAATAATAAACAACTAAAGTTGAAGAAGAGGAAAAAGAGGAGCAAGATGAGGAAAATGAAAATGAAACAGAAAAATAGGAATCTACTGCTGAGTAGTAAGCTTCAAAAGCAATTAAAGTCATTGGAGAAATGAGAAATAAACTGATTCAAGCAGATAAATAATACTTTATTGCTCCTAAGAGAAGAAATGTATCAGAACTCACAAGAAGTAAAGAAAAGTTGTTGACTTCGGACGAGAAAATGAATATCTAGGAGCATCCATTAAAGAATCAGTAAAATAGAAAGCCCAAGGAATATTTGAGAATGAATTCTCAGACTCACCTGTGGAGTGACATGGTTAAATTTAATGAGTACAAACCAATGGATGATATTGATGTGAAAGCAATCAAAGAAATGCAGTTTAAAGTCAAAATAGTTGATATGGGAAACGCCTGTTACATTGATGAACACTTCTCAGATATTATTCAAACTAGATAGTACAGATCTCCAGAGGTAATATTCAGAGGGGACTATGATCAGTCAGCCGATATGTGGAGTTTAGCATGCACAGTCTTTGAATTGGTTACTGGCGATTACTTATTTGAGCCTAAGAAGGGAAGAACATTTACTAAAAATGAAGATCATTTGGCCTTGATTTCTGAACTGCTTGGTGAATGCAAGAACTCTAAATTCTTAAACTCTGGCTACAAATCTGATGTAAGTTCTCAATTAACTATATAATTTTTATCAGAAAATATTTGACAAGAATGGAAGACTGAAAAACATAAAGAAATTAAAGTATTGGGGTTTAAGAGATGTCTTGATTGAAAAGTACAGATTAAGAGAGTTTGAAGCGACTGAACTTACTGACTTCCTGATGAAGATGCTTAAGTGGGAGCCTAAGGATAGAGCAACTGCTCAAGAGATGCTGCAGCATCCCTGGCTAAAGATGATGCCTAATTACAGTACAAAGATGAGTCGAAGAGAACTGAGAGAATTCAAGAGAGTAAACAAGTATTCTCAGATTAGTGATTCAACAAATAGTGATTAAGAATAGGCTCTCGATAATGAATAAGAATTAGAAGTGAAAGATGATTTAGAATTGCCAAGTGAAATCTAATAGCAAGAGAACAAGAGAAACGATTGAGTTGTGGCACATCCCATTAGAATTAATGGCAATCCTTATGAAAAGAAAAGAACGGGTAATTAAAAAAATTAACTTATTTATTGATGATAACTTCATTAGCATTATATATTTGCCTTTAAGGGGTTTTGGGGTTTTGGGGTTTTGGGGTTTTGGGG